ATAAAATTATTCTGAGAGTCCAAGGGAGAAGAAGAGTCCCTAACTGGGAAGAAGAGAAATAAACTGGACCCTGAAAATGAGTAGAATTTTTATAAGTAGGAACAGTAGGTGAATCTCCTATGTTATAGGAACAGCTTGGTTATGATGTCACCAATTGTTCAAAAGAAACATGATAACATGACAATCTGACCTCAGGTGGCCAAGGTGATATTTAGCACTCACTCCCTCAGACCTAGCCCCTCTTCTCCATGAAGCATTCCCTCACATAGAAATCCTGCTTAAACTCCCACAACCCAGTCTGAATTAAGTGTTCTCATTTGTAGAGCCCCCCACAGCACTGTGTCAATACTTTTTTGTAGCATCTCTTATATTCTAATCATGTGTTACTTGTATTATCTCCTCCTTTTATATTACCTTCAAATATCTTATTGTCAGTCCCCAAAGCTTAGAACAGTACTCTTAAGCACTCAATGTTGGTTGAGGAAATGATAAATAACTATCAAAGAAATTAATGACTAATAGTTAAGCCTGTTCATGTACTTTGTATCAAATTTCCAAAAATATCTCCCAGTCTAAAGGCATTTTTCAGGTGACAGTGGTCCACATGCAATAGCCACATCCACTGCAATTATTTAAAAAGACTTTCATTCTAAAGTGAGCACCAGGAAATTAACATGTGCCAGGAGGGCTGGGTCACAGTCTCCAAATGTAGCACAGGGTGTTAGATGTCCTCCCCTATGGTTAGAGCATACCAATGTTCTAGAATAGTCTACTAGGGATGTCAATGATAACCACCAATATATTAAGCACTACATGCTCTGCACTTCACAAAGCAATAGATCTTTCATCTATTCCTCTTCTGCATTAGTTCATGCTTGTTTATATTTTTAGTTTGTATGATGCTTGGGTGATGCCTATAATTATCCATTGCATGAAGAGGGGTATGCTCCTCCTAAAACTAATTCTAACTTTTTTTTAATTCCTAGAGAACATTCATATGCTTTTGTTCTTTTATTTCCTTTTTTAAAATCAAAAAGCCCTTTTCCAAGCCCTCTTTCCTCTAGTATTGCTTTTTATTTCCATTTTAAAACTCATTTATATTGAACATTACCAGCCAAGAACTGACTATGCACCTCAAGATCACCTGATCAACTTATTTTAATATGTGTCTTTTCTACTGTCACCTCAGTTTTCAATCTGAAATTCGTTGACAAAAATTAGTTAGCTCAAGCTAGGTTCTGCACCAAGTATGTACGAACATGAACAAAAGACCTATCATATAAATCTAACACAGTTACAGGAGGTCAGCTGAATGTAAGTCCATCTGTGTTTTACAAATAAGCAGTTTCATGAGCATTTCTGAAAGGGAGTTTGGGGGAGAGGAGCTAGAAGCAGGCGCGTGAGTGCCCACCCTAAGAAGAAACAATGGAAGAGGTGACAATTGTCACCAAATGTCCTTCCCATATGACGCCACGCAGCACCTCTCCCCAACCCCCAAATAAAATCATTTCCAGAGAGCAGAAATCATGACTTAAAATAACGCCATTCGGTGGCACTCAGATGTCCGGTTATTTTTCCCAGCTGGGCCTCCCCGAATTACAGCCTGGCACCACAGACGAGGAACTCAACAGATCCACCGAGTGGATGCCAACGGGCTGGGATCCCAGCTGGAACAGCGTATACATAACGTCCCGGTATGACCCTGCCACCTACCTTCATCGTAGTTATAGCCTCGGACATTCCGATGCCGGGCCATGGTGGCGGAGAGGGCGTTTGCCTCAGCCCCTTCCAAAACACCCCGCTTAGATACTGACAAGGAGCCAACTTTGGCCTGAAGAACACGTCGGCGCCATCTTAGCTTCCGGCAGACCTCTACGCTGAGCGCCTGCGCACGCACGGCGTCTTATCTGCGCACCGGGCGCATCCTCTCAGGGTCTCTGCCCGCCTCCCTACGGACGCATGCGCACTGATGCGCATCGGGAAGTCGGGCCTACAGGAAGCTGCATTGACTGGGATTTCAAACCGGGTAAATCCGGCCGGCTGGAATTTATTGGTTTGGGCCAAATGTTGCGAGCAGGGATCCTTGATCTACGCCAGGTTTTCCAGTTTAGTTTCTAATAATCTATTGAAAAGCTGACTGCTGAGTAAGAGCAGGGATCTTGTTTTATCCAATTTCATCTTTGAAGTCTAGTTCACAATAGGCATTCAACCGACAGGTAAATTTGATATAAGAATTAGTCCATGCTTTAGAGGGAGGAAAAAAGACTACTTTTAAATGGGTTTATATGGTTGAGAACCTGGCCACGCTAGGTCACCATGCTTTCGTGTAATTCATGGCTTTATGTATGGGATCTGCATTAAAACCTCTAGTAAACAACTCTCTGCTCTTGGCTTTGTAAACGGTTGTAGCTATGTAAACGATCTTTATCAGCATCATAAAGGATTCACTGAGCATTCGATGAACACATAATTGTGTGTAACATGCTGAGTGTTAAATATAGCACTGGCCTCAGGTGGTAATGAGGAATGTTGTTGATGCGTAAATTTATAACCTATTAAATATCCTTATTTCTTAGAACTTAATAATGCTATATAAAAAACCAACGTCATTATCATACTGAACAAACCACTTAAGTTTTAGCTTATATTTTTGAAACGATACTTTACATCAAAGGCAAATGTCAAATTCTAGAAATAAAAGCTTACTCAGCTTTTTATTATCCACAATAGAAAGAAATAATACAAATTTAATTCATACTTGTAAGTGGCTTGGAATGTAATTTATACATGCATCTGAAAGTGTCTGACTACAAAATGGTTGTTCTTCACTATCACTGCTGTTTAACGTAGCTCCAAGACAAAATTTTACAAAAAAATAGAGATAGTTGCTGATTTTATATGGCTTAAATGTTTTTTTATTTTACACCTTTAGATAAATTTTGTGTTGCAGCCTATTTCTCTGTAAAATAAAGATAGTAATACTATCTAACTTACAGAGTTGTGAATAATAATTTATCCATGTAAGAAGATTTATCACAGATCACAGTAGGTATGTAAAAATATTGTGTTATTAAAATATAAATGGCAGCTTCCACCCCACTGTAATCGTCAATTACAAGCTTAAATACAACTCACTGAGGTATGCAGTGAATGAGTTATAAATTGACCATGAGTAAGCAAAGTACTGCAGGAGCAATGAATGAGACAACATTACTTCTGCTAGAGAGATAGTATATAATTTCCCTCTGGGTCAACAGTAATGCACTCCCTTAAAATTCTAAATACTTGAGGGCCTCCACTGCATCTCAAGTAGTAGGACCTCAATAGCAAAGCCTTCACCGACTTCCTTAGAAAGAGTTAGGATTTTATCCACTGATCTCTGAACTCTGTAGATGTGATTGTAAAAGTTTGGTATTATGTTTTGATGGAAAGTACCATGACTTAGAAGTCACACAAACCTGGATTTCAGTCCCAGTTTTGCTGCTGTTTGTTAACTTTGTAAAAGAATAAAAAAAAAAAAAAAAAATCTCAGGACACCCCCCAACTCCTTATCCAAAAGAGGTCAAACCAGGAGGCTGAGTCATGCAAAACCCCCTTTCAAATGAATAGCTTTTACTAACATTATGCATCAATCAGACTCCCAGGAAAGATAAAAGGCCTTAGGACTGCCCCCGTAGATCATTCATAAGGAAATTCTTTGCTGGCCTCCCACAAACAAGGACATGTAAATTGTAACTTTGAGTCTGCAGGCTAAGTCTAGCTCCTAAAATGAAAGACTGTTGATTCCACACTATTAATGTTGATTATAAGTTTATATTTCCAGGTGCAGAACAGAGACAAAACAAGATCAATCATTCTTCCATCTACCCAGGGATAGCACTCCCTTTTTTTCTTCAAACAGTCACCTTACCTTATGTAAAATGTAGATTTTGGAGGGGCCTCACAGAATGTAACCATTTGCCTCACTGCCCTACCCCACTCCTCCTTTTTCTTTCTGTATGTCATGTCCCTTTAAAAATACTGGAATTAGCCATGGCACAGTGGCTCATATCTGTAATCCCAGCACTGTGGGAAACAGAGGCAGGAGTATCCTTTGAGCCCAGTAGTTTTGAGGTTGCAGTGAGCTATAATGACACCACTGCACTCTAGCTGGGGCAACAAGCAAGACCCTGTCTAAAAAATAAAAAAAAATACAGGAGTTCCCAAATTCCACTTAGGAAAAACACCACAGATGTGTCTGTGGCTGGTGTTTTTCCCAGGTGTGTCCTCAAACTTTGGCTTAATAAATCACCATTGATTGAGATCTTTGCCTCAGTCACTTATTTTGGGTTGTCAACTTCTATGGGCTTAATTTCTTCATCTGTAACATGCATATATATAAAAATGTATGTCTTTGGCTAGGCGTGGTGGCTTACACCTATATCCTAAACTTTGGGAGGCTGAGGCAGGAGGATCACTTGAGGCCAGGAGTTTGAGACTAGCCTGAGCAAGAGGGAGAACCCATCTCTACCAAAAATAGAAAAATTAGCCAGGTGTGGTGGCACATGCCTGTAGTCCCAGCTACCTGTGAGGCTGAGGCAGGAGGATGGCTTGAGCCCAGGAGTTTGAGGTTGCAGTGAGCTATCATGATGGCACTGCACTCTAGCCCGGGCAACAGAGCAAGACCCTGTCTCAAAATAAATAAATAAATAAGTAAAAGTGTGTCTTTTATTTTCTAAAAACAAATGATGTGTGTAAAAACAGTAGCTGTTACATAGTAGGTACTGAATAAATCCTAGTTCTCTACCCTACTAATTAGAAAGTTTTATCTTTCTTTCTCCAGCACCCTAATGTCTGGCACTTGATAAGTGTTTGCTGAATGAATTCACAAATGAAAGAAGAGAAATGTAATGTTCTCTTGCTATGAGATAAAGTGGTCATAAATAACTATATAAATATTCATTTTTATATTGGTTTGTGAAGAAAATTATGAATGAAAGTAGCATAACTACATTACTGAAAAATTTTAACAACTTTATTGAGCTATCATTGACAAACAGTAAAGTGCACATATTTAAAGTATACAATTTGGTATGTTTTGACATATGTATACACCAAATGATAAACCCAATCAAGACAATGAACACATCCAGACTCCCAAAGGTTTACTCAAGCACCTTGTATCCAGAATAAAAGATCCCAGAATACCCAAAAATCCCTCCTGCCCCTCATGGTCTCCTCACCATGGCCCCTGGTAACAACTGATCGCTTTTCTGTCACTATAGATTTATTTGCATTTTCTAAAATTTTGTATAGATGAAATCATACAGTTTGTGTTCTTTTTTAACCTATTTTTGTTCACTCCACATAATTATTTTAAGATAATTCAACCGTGTTGGTGCTTGAATCAGTAAGTTTATTCCTTTTTATTGCAGAGGGAAATTCCATTTTATGGATATACAACAATTTGTTTTTCCATTCCAACTACTGATAGCTATTTGGGTTGTTATCAACTTTGACTACTACAGATAAGGTTGCTCTGAATACCCATGTGCAAATCCTTCTATGGACGTAAACTTTGATCTCTCCTGGGTGAATATCTAGGAGCAGAATGCATGGATGCTATGATGGGTTATCTTTAGCTTTTTCAAGAAACTGCCAAACTGTTTTCCAAAGTGGTTATGTTAGGTAGTTAGCCAGGGATTCCAGGTCTCTTAGGGACGAAAGTGGGTGATTCTGTGATTCACCGCCCCCACCCCCCACCCCCTGCCCCGCAAATGGGCTTTCAGAGAGGCTTTATGGGAGATCTGCATGCACGGTAAGACTCAGGTAATATAACTCCCAACTGTCCAATCAATGTGGTTCCATGGTGACATTTGAACCACAGGGAAGTCCCAGTCCAGGCACTATAAAACAAGACACAGACCATAACTAGGCCCTTTTTCCCCTTCCTTTTGCTCTGCCTTTGTACAACAATGGATCTGGTCATCATCTGTGGTGTATGTATCACGCTCTGTAAACTGATATGTTGCTCTTGCTCTATAATCCTATCTTCCTCTCCTCAATAAACCTCATTATCATGCTTGCCTTACTTTGGTGCATTTGGTCATTCTTCGGCCATGAACATGCCAAGAACAACATTTCAGACTGAAACCTGACAGTTGTAACATTTTACACTCCCACCAGCAGTGTAGTTCCATATTCTCTACATCTTTGCTAACACTTCCTATGGTCTAAAGATGTTATGCTTATTTGACATTTCTATGTCCTCTTTGGTGAAGTGTTTGAATCTTTGGTTGATTTTTAATGAGGTGTTTGTTTCCTTATTTTTGATTTTGGAGAGTTCTTTTTATATTCAGGATACCATTCCTTTATCTGATATATGCTTTGGAAATATTTTTCTTAGTTGGTGACTCATCTTTTCATTCTTTTAACAATGTCTTTTGAATAGAAGATTTTCATTTTCATGAAGTCCAATTTACTTTTTCTTTAATGGATTGTGTTATTGTTGTATTTAAAAATCTTTGCCTGATCTAAGGTAGCAAAAATTTTCTCCAAATTTTTTTTTTAAATTTTTTAGAGAAAGGGTCTCATTCTGTTGCCCAGGCTGGACTCAAACTCCTGGGCTCAAAAAATCCTTCCACCTCAGCCACTCATAGCTGGGACTACAGGCACACACCAAAGTGCCTGGCTCCTGTTTTTTTTGGTTTGGTTGGTTGGTATTTGTGTAAGTTTTACAACTTGGGGTTTTTACATTTAGGTTTATGATACATTTTCAGTTGATTTTTGTGTACAGTGAAAGGTTTAGATCAAAGTTCATTTCTTGCATATGGACATTGAGTTGTTCCAGCATCATTTGTTGAAAAGAAGGTCCTTTCTCCACTGAGTTGCATTAGTATCTTTACCAAAAATCAGTTGTCCAGTGTGGGTCTAGTTCTGAACTACTGATATCCTTATCCAGTGATGTAATGA